GGGGGGGGGGGGGGGGGGGGGGGGGGGGGGGGGGGGGGGGACTGGAGCCAATGGGGAGGGGCGGGGTTCACCTGGAAGGCAGCATCACAAACGTAATTGATTAATTCATTCAATGCTTCAGACACCAAAGCCAGAGTCTCGTTATAACCACGCTGTACGGTTTTACATGTATTGTCCACTAGGGGGCAGAACAGAACTAGTTAGATGGTCCCTGTTTCTCCCCTCAGGCGCGGCACGCTGCTCGTGTGGGGGCGCACGCTGTGGCCGTCATCGCCCCGTCTTTCTTCAAGCCCAAAACCGCAGGTCTGTCAGAAAAAGTGTAATTCTTAGCTTCTTTGCAGTTGAAACGGCGAGCAGCCTCTGGCTCCTCCCACATCCAAGTCGGCCATTTTGATTAGTTTTTTTTTTTTTTACTGATTTTATGTAGAGCACTTTGAATTGCCCTGTTGCTGAAATGTGGTATACAAATAAAGCTGCCTTGCCTAGGTCATGTGACTAGCAGCTTTCTGAGGTGCAAACGAAACTTTACTGTCTATTCGAAATCGGAAGATAAACGATGTCCTAACCCTAACCCTGACCCTAACCCTAACCCTGATCTTAACCCTGACCCTAACCCTGACCCTAAACATAACCCTGACCCTAACCCTATCCCTAACCCTGACCCTGACCCTGACCCGGACCCTAACCCTAAACCTAACCCTAACCCTCAGCCCTTCATAATTGTGATAAATAAATATTTTTTGGTTAAACTTGTTTGGACTTATTGTACAAACCTATTTAACATCCACTATTTTAACATAATATTATGGATAGAGTTTAATTCAGTGTTTGAAAGATTCATTTCACTATTTTCAAATTAATGTCTATATTGCCATGAAGCAATGAGGATTTTCTTGCCTGGGATCTTCCTATTGGTGACCTAATCAAAATGGCCGATTTGGATGTGGGGGAGTTGGATATCCATCCTTGGCTTCCTGCAGTCTGCAGCCAGACGTAATTTGATTTATGTTGGCGTGTTGTTATTAGCCATTAGCCGCAGCTAACGTCACGTTAATGATCATAAACAACGTAAATAGATAAATATTGAGTATCGTATCCGGATACAACGTTTTAGTATCCATACTTTTGACAACCCTAAAGAAATGCTCATGAACCGTTTCCCGTTTTCTCCAGATGCTCTGAGGGCGTTTCTGACCCAGGTGGCCTCGGCTGCCCCCGCTCTGCCCTTCTACTACTACCACATCCCGGCCATCACCGGAGTAAACGGTCAGCACCCTCTGCTCACGTAGGGTTTGAAACATGTCGGAGTTCTCTAATCGCTGGAGATTCTTTGTTTCCCTCAGTGAGTGCCAGGGATGTGATCGAGGGCATCGAGAGTCTGATCCCCAGCTTCAGGGGAGTGAAGTTCAGTGGGAGTGACCTCGTGGACTTCGGACAGTGTGTCAGTCACAGACCTCAGTGGTCTTTCCTCTACGGCCTGGATGAGGTCAGTCTCTTCCCCCCTTTTACATACAGTGGGGGAAATAAGTATTTGACCCCTTGCTGATTTTGCAGGTTTGCCCACTTACAAAGAATGCTTATTTTTCCTCATCAGATGGTTATCAATTTTTATAAATTCATATGATGTGATTTTCTGGTATTTTCTTTGGGATTCTGTCTTTCACTGTTAGAATGTACATATGATTAAAGTTATAGATCGTTGCATTCTTTGTAAGTGGGCAAACCTGCAAAATCAGCAAGGGGTCAAATACTTATTTCCCCCACTGTATTTTTGTGAGGACGGGCATCTTTTCATTTCTACTAGGCTTGTTTTGCTTTAACATTGAATACGGAACAAACAACTCTCATTACGTTATATATAACTTAATAGTGGAGACATGCAAAATCAAATTCAAATAAAAAGACACATCAACGGCATTTATTTATGACATAAAATTTGAAAACATTTTTTTATTCGCAGCTTTCTGAATTAAATATCAAAATAAAATATACTCGTCCAGAAAGCTCCTGTTTCCTGCCCTCCTTTTCGTCATTTTTCGTAGTCATTTGGTATTGTCTCGTGGGCCAAATATGATAACAAACAGAGTTTGACACCCCTGTTGTAAAGCATGAATTTGGATGCAAACGTTAGGCTGGTCCAGACTCCAGATCCAGTTTTTTTTTAAAGTCCGATCCCACACGAGCATTATTATTAGCATTAGCATCTGTAACCCACAGGTCTGTGTCCTAACCATTAAGTTGTTATCAGAGTAAATCCCTGTTCCACATGAGTCTGACAACTAAGTAAGTAGAATAAATAACTTTAAACTTTAATACATGCTCTGATAGGCCGGGATCGGGATCAGATCGGAAGTGAAAAAAGCTGTAAAAGTGTAAAGTTGTTTTCCAGGCAGGTGGACACAGTCCCATACGTACTACCTAAAAATGTGCTTGTTATTCACACCAGTCATTGTTTTAATTCAATTGAATTCAATAATACTTTATTTATCCCAGAGGGAATTTAAATGTTTTGTGCAGCTCATTTAGTCAAAGGTTTGTTATACATTTTTCTAGCTGTGGGCAGGAAAGATCTTCTGTATTGTTTTGTTTTTTAAATCTTCTGTGCTTGTTATTTCTTTAATTATTCTGGATTTCCCTCCCACCTGTTGGCTCTCTGAGACTTGTCTTTGTCCTTATCTTGTTTATTTTGGGGAATACTATCATTCTAATCCACATTTCTTCAGAACTTTGTTATTAAACGAATATTGCAATGAGACAAACTGGAAATAAAATCCTTGTTTAATCTTTCTGTAGCAATTCTTAGGAGCCTTGGCTATGGGAGCCCATGGAGCAGTTGGCAGGTGAGTAACCCCCCATTTGTGGAATACTTATTTACCTGTCTGCGTTTTAGTAATTCCTGTGATTATTTCCATTCCTGCAGCACATATAACTACTTAGGATGCGATGTCCAGCAGCTTATGTCAGCTTTTGAGAAGGGGGACATTGTCCAGGCCAGGAAAATACAGGTACTGGCCCTCTCTGTTGATCCCAAACTGTCATTTATTTCGGTTTTATTTACGTCTTTTGTGGCTTTGTGCAGTTCAAGATCCAGGAGCTTGTGACTTATGCCATAAAACTGGGTGAGTGACAGATGTATGATGAGTGTTTCATCCCCCAAAACTGGATCAAACTGTGATTATTCTCAAAAATGCCCTTCTGTCCCTGAAAGGCTTCGATGTGGGCGTGAACAAGCAGCTCATGGTGGACGTGTC